TCTTTCTTTTTATTCTGTTCCCAGTTTCTTTAAGTCTTTTGCTTGTCTGGTTTCCAAAAAATTTTTTCTCACTTGGTTTTACATATCACCTGGACTTTCAAATCTCTAACATGGAAAGAGACCCAAGTGGAAGTGACAGATTTGGAAAAGAGTACTTACTGTGGGTGAGGCTTGGGTGCTTTGCTAGATGTTTTCATATACCTCATTCATTTGGTCTTGCAAGAGCACTATGAAATTAAAGATGATTATTATACATATCTTATAGATAAAAGAGTTCAAGCCTAAGCTGTCCTAATTTGTTTGGGACCGAGGTACATGCAGGAACTCAGGAACTTCAGTTTTAAAACCAGTACAGTAAAGTGCAGGGTCACTGGAACAAATTGGTCCTATGAAGCCTCAGATCAATGACTAGGAAGTACAGAAGCCTGGGCTGGAACCAAGACCCACTTTGCACTAGGATCTTTGCTTTTCACCATGATATAGAAAGGTATAGATATAGATACAGATACTGATACAGATACAGATACAGATACAGATACAGATATAGATATAGATATAGATATAGATATAGATATAGATATAGATATAGACATAGATATAGACATAGACATACATAGATATATGTAAATACGTTTTTATTGATTTCAGAGATGAAGAGAGAGAGAGATAGAAACATCAATGATGAGAGAGAATCATTGACTGGCTGCCTTCCACACGCCCCCACTGAGCATGTGCCCTGACCTGGAATTAGAACATGACTTCCTGGTTCATCAGTCGATGCTCAGCCAATAAGCCACATCGGATGGGCCAGCATGATGTCATACTGTCTCTAATTCAACAAAGTAGAAAGAAGCGGGCTGATTCAAAGAGGAGGTAGAAGGTAAAGGCATGAAAGAGTTCATTCAGGGGTAATACTGTTTCCTGGAAGGCATTTTGTCAGGGGAAATGTGCTTTATCAAGAGTCACAAGACCTAAATCTGGTCCCGTTTATTCACAAACTCAGTGTTAAGTTGAACAAATCACCTTCCATGCTGTTTTTCCTTATCTATAAATGAGGGGCTAACAAGAAGACAACTTCTGAGATCATTTCCAATTTTAAATTAAAAAATTGTGTTACTTGAACTTGTTCCTTAAATATAAACTCTTCAAAACCATTTAATGCTGATTAAATATTAGCTAGATTTTAAAAGGTCATTGAGAAAAGAAAAAAAAAAAACACACACCTAAAAATAGATGCTAGGATTTATAGCATTTTATGATTTAGATCAAATTTCTAGATCTAGCTCTTTAAGAGTAGTTAGTATTTCTGAGCCCAGCAAAATTCCATTGCAACAGCTTAACAGTTTTGGCCTTTAATTTATTTTTATTACATTTGTGGTAATTAACTTTATGGTATTTTCATTGTTGTCTTTAATTGTTTATAGAATGTTCCAAACATCTTAGTAGGAACTGATTTATAAATCAAACTTTCACTCTTATTGCTAATTTATAAAATGTTAATAGCCTCTCATTAAGGCATGTGTTATTAATAACTAAAGCAATATACTTTTGTAGTAGCACTGTTTTACTCTATGAAAATCAGAAGTAAAACAGACTTACAACATGCCACAATTATCATTTTAGATATAAATAAATGTGGGTATTGGAATGGGAATCTTCATAGATATTTTGAAAGCATTTCTGATTTAATAGAGTGATAAGAAATAAGGTACTATGGCCTTTTTAAAATTCTTGGACATGTGTTCTAACCAAAATTTCCCCTTGATAAGACATAGCTTTTTATATTTTTAACATTTTATTCAAGAAAAGCCTCACTCTCCCTATGACCTCCACAACTATCCCTTTCTATAAACACCTTAAGGTGAATTCAAAGACAGGAGGGGAATTTGAGGTGAGAAAAATGTGAAATAAAAGTGGGTATAAAGAGAAGAATGTGACTTTTCTGAAACTAGTTTGTGTGTGTGTGTGTGTGTCTGTAATTACACTCATTTTGAGCCAAAGTAATTAGCTCCTTTTCTCATTTGGATAATTAAAATCCTCCTATCAAGATAACTAGGTGCATAAAATTAAACAAGCCAACTTCATTAGCCACACTGCAAAAATCATGACAAGTTACATGGAAGATTTAGTAGTAGTGAGATTTCTAAAAAAATATTAGTAACTCTGTGAAAACTAAGCATATTGCAACAATTCAGGACTTACAGGAATTCAAGTCCACTGCTTGTTATAGGTACTAATTGCTTGGCTAGCCATGTGCTCAGTCTTGTGGAAGACATAACATAAATTTAAAAGCCTAGTTCCTTTGCTAGAGATATTGTTAGACTTTGTTAGATTTAGCAAAGCCCTACACTTTATATTTCTTTTGAGGAAGAGAGAGAAGAGCAGATATACAACTATCTATAATGATGAGTGTAGTATTTTCAGTTTAAATAGGTTACTTGGAAAAATTAACAATAAAAAATTAAACTTTATTATAAATAAATAAATGTGCATCATATAATCAAAAATTGCACAATTTCTTAGTGTATAGATAGCTCTATGAATATTCACAAAGTGGATAACCATTACCCAATAAAGAAATAGAGTATTGCCAGAATCATAAGGGCCTTTCCTGTGTCCCTCTCAGACACTGTATCCTTCCCCTCAAGGTCACCATTACCCTGCTTTCTATGCCATTAATAAATTTTCTCTGTTTTTGAACTTTATATTAACAAAAGCAGACAGTATGTTCTCTTTATGCTGGCTTCTTTCTTTTATGATTAGATGTGTGAGAACCATTTATGTCTTTTTTTTTTAAAAAAATAGCAATTCATTCTCACTGGTGTGAAACATCCCATTGTATGAGTAAACTGTAATTTATTGACCCATTGGGTTACTTCTAGTTTTTAGCTGTTACAAAACAGTGCTGTTATGTTCATTCTTGCTTGTGTCTCAGTACACATTATGAAGCATTTCTGTTGGGTGTGGGAGGGCTGAGTAATAAGTCTAGATTTAGTCTTTCAAGATATTGCCAAATAGATTTCCAAAGATTACCAATTCACACTCCAACAGGCAGTGAATGAATATTTCAGGAGCTGCATATTTTTGTTAACACTTAGTATTTTGTTAAAGATATTTGTTTGGGTGTATGTTCATTGTAATTTTGTTTCCTTGCTGACCAATGAGATTTGAGCATCCTTTCATATGTTGATTTCCCATTTGGAAATTTCCTTTTGCAAAGTGTCTATTGAAATCATTTGCCAACTTTTATTTTTTATTGTCAGGGGCCTTCGGTTCATGTTTGTGAGTTGCCAAATCCTAATTAAAGTAGCTCTATATCAAAACACTAAACCACAGAAAAACCCCACAGGTCATTGAACATGGCTAAAAAGAGTAATGTTCCTTTTACACTGAGGCAAAAGTGAACATTCAGTATATGATAGCCAAAAAAGAGTATTTCAAGAAATTTTATTTTATATTTTGAAGGAATTTTAAAGCATAGTAATGCATATTTTCTCAGTTTACATCTCCTTTGTAATGATTGGAGAACTGAAATGAAATTAATAGCTTTCTTTTGTCATTTAAAAGTTTAGTTATTTTATTTAACACCAGAAATATTTGGGATCTCTTAGTATCAGTGTCCATGTAAGCCTACAGGAAATAGAATATAATATTTTATGAAAGAGTTGAACCTTACATCCAAAAGGTACCTGTGAGATCATGGACTGAGCCTGGAGAGTTGGCATAGGGGTGGGTGGGAGTGATGAGATGGTTGGGGAAAGGCTCTGAGATTCAAATAACAACAACCATCTGCTTTCCTCATTGACTTCTGAGAAAGAGTTCCTTTAAGCATAAGCTGAAGCTGCTCTTTCCGTGTCTATTTAAAACCCTTCATGTATGCATGAAGAGGTGGGATTCAGCAAGGTTAACTGGTTTGGCCCAGATGACACACGTTGGCAATGGCAGACTCAGGATTGAAATCCAAGTTCTCCATGGTGCTTGTGGACCCTGATGTTTGTGTCAGCTGGAGGACTATCCTCATGATTCAATTATGTTCTTTCCTTCCCACTTCCTGGCTTTGAGCAATATATTAACCTGAGTTAATTAGATAATCAGAGGGAGGTTCCTGCATCAGGAAAGGGATGTTATTCTACATGCTTGACACTCTTGTAGGTGGCTCAGAGGACCTCAGCTTACCTGATATTAATGGTCATGAATTCATAGAGTATCTTTTATCCAACACATTTGATGGTCCTCTGACTAATTTGAATCATAACTTTATGTGCAATTATAAATGTTTTATTCAATCATCTTATATACATTTTTTATCCGTTATTTGATGCCCAATATTGGCCCTGTTATATTGGACCTAGTTAGGACTTGTTCTGTTTTGTTTTCTTTACCTTCTTTCCCTTCTATTTTCTCATTCCTGTTGCTTGGTGCCAGCTCATCTTATCTAGTCAGAGGGACAGAGAGACTTGGCAAAGAGAATCAATCAGGAAGCAAATCTGGAAAATGACCTAAAGGTCCTTGTTGAGTTGGGGGGGGGGGGGGGGGGGGAAAAAAAAGTGGAGAACAACTTACACTTTTTCAAAGAATGGAAACATTGATAAGGACAAAATCTGATAGGGAGACCCCAGAGATCAAGGGTTGAGGGGAGCATAGAGGTGATGGTAACTAGGGACACAACTAGAAGAGACCAGACCTGGGCAAGTTTCCCTTTTATTCTGCCCCTAAGTTCCAGAGAACAGACTAAGCTGAAGAGGAATAGGAGAGAGGCAAGAACTTTTAATCATGCAGTTAATTTTTGAGATTAAGGTCCAGTTACCATCTCATCTGAAAGGTCTTTAAGGTCTTCTTGCCCAACTATTTTATTTTGCAAATGAGGAAACTAGGGTGAGGAGAAATCAAAGCAAACCCCTTGACTCAGTTCTGGATGGAGCTGTATGCTACCAGTCCTATATTTCTCATTCATATTTACTCAGTTGCATGAGAGAGAAGAGCCCAGGGCAGGAAGCTAGATGCAGTTGGAAGTTGTGGAAGGGAAATTAGGTGATCTGATACTCATTGAGGAAAATGCCTCCTTCTGTTATGTGAAGAATAAATTAGAAAATGATCAGGCTGTAAATCAAGAGATTAATTAGGAGGTTATTTCAGCATTCTAGGAATAAAATGGTTGTGGCTGGAAGAGGGAAGATGAGAAGACCAGTATTTTGAAATTAAAATGTGGAAGACTTGGATTGGATGTGGTAGGTAAAATACAGGAGGAATCAAAGCTGTGTTGAGCAGCTTGGTGGATATAGGTCCAGTTTTAATATGGAGAAACGGGGACGGGGTGAATCTATGACTTGCAATTGGATTCAGGCAAAGGGATAGTTGGGAAAAAATTTTGGCTAGAAAGTGAAGATTTGTTCTCATTCAATCTTATATGAACTGCTGAAACTGTTTGTCTAGATCCCTGGACCATGACATGTTTCCCCAAGTCCTACTTAATGCCATAGGGCAGTTCTTTGTCACTTCATTCCATAGGATACTATGAAAAAGACTTAACAGTAATCTGTTCAGGAAAGACAAGATAAGGCGATAAGGGAGGGCAATACTGTTTCCACTTTGTGTCTTTTATTTATATAGAAATGAAATTAGAAATCCTTAGCTTTCCTGTAACTCAATTTAGGAATGCCTTAAGTTGTGCCTACTGGATAAGAAAGGTTGAAAGGACTTTTTCACAAATGTGTCTATAGAAACATGGGAGGTAGGGCTTACCTATCCAGCATGCTGTTGCCATAGTTACTTATTCCATAAACATGTTTTTTGTTTTTTTGTTTGTTTGTTTTTTTAATTCCTCTACATGCCAAGCCCCATTCAAGGCACTGGGAATACAGCAGGGAAGAAAACAATGTCATTGCCTTTATGGAGTTATATCCCAGAACACTGCTTATGTCAGCGTCTTGTTCAAAAAATTTCAATCGTTTGTTGCCCATTTTCAGCATAAAATCCAATCATCTGCTTAAATCATATAGAGCCACTGCTTGCTGTTCCCAAATCATGTCCATTTTTACTTCCTTGTGTTTTGCCTGAGCTATTTCTCTCACTTGCCTGCTTCTCCATTCCTTTGATGTCAGCCAATCTGACCCACTCAGGACTAATAGTCAATACCCTACGGGTGTGCTGGCCAGCATCTATTATAGTTCCAATTGGTTCATGCTTATGCCAAACCAGCTATTCAAAATTTCTCCATTATTCCTGCATCCACCAGGTGTAGCTCAGACTCTTGAGAATTCTTTTCTAGGTCCCTTTCTCAGCCCTTAGTGATCTCATCTTCATCTGAATTCATGGCTCTCACTTATTTCACAAAGCTCACAAATTTTCTCATAATATCTGGCATACAATTCTTTGCATTTTATTGAAAAAAATTTGACTTATGCTTTTTCTTCCAAAAGAGATGATGATCCCCATTGTACAACTCAGATAACACATATGCACTTATTAATCAATCAACGTACTAGAGGGACTCAGAATCCCATAACTGTCTGCTGGGGACTTAGTGAAGAGGGTCCCTATCTGCCATATTATGTGTCAGTGTGCTTATCTTTAGGCAAGTCCATCCTCCAGGGCCTTCTTCCACCACAGCTCTGTTTCAGAGTCGTCCCTATCGCCTCAGGTTTGTGTGGGTACTACCATGCCAGTACCCCTTAGGATGTTTGACTAGTTTTCTGCATTGGAAGGACAGTGGGGTGTCTCATTTTCCAGCCAAGTCAATGCAAGCTGACACCCCTGGTACACTGAATTAAGGTGGAGAAGCCAACAGCTTTAGAGAAGAATCCATTTTTATGGGGATTAAAACAAGAAAATGATGCTGCACAAAACACTGTTTTTTACCTTCTTATATTTAAATTGAAAGAAGACAATAATTAAGTTAGATCAGAAGATGAGTTCTGATTGTTAACTGCTAAAGGTGGTAAAGTATTTTAATTTGTTAAACTAGGCAGATGAGATACATGTTTTATGGTCTTTCCCATAGTGTAATGCTAACAACGTGAGAATTAGTCATTTTCAGATATTCCACATTTGTTATTTTAAAGATGTAACTGCAGAGTTTTTCCCTTTCTAAGAGCAAGTGGCTATAGTCATTATTTTCATAGGGCAAAGCTGGCTTTACTCAAATAACTCCCAAATTTTAAAATAGGTCTTTACTACTTCACCACAGTATTATGGTCTAGTCAGCTAACTGAACAATTATAGCTAGACTTTTATTTTTATGTTTTATTTATTTATTTATTTATTTATTTATTTATTTATTTATTTATTTTATTACCATTTATGCCCCTATACCCTCTTTCATCTCCACCCACCTGTCTCCCTGCCACCATCACCAAATAGTTAGGTTTTTAGAATAAGAGGCTCCATGGAGCTTTGAGGACATTTAATATTCCATTTCTATTTATAAACCTGTGTGAGTACACACTAGTATGCATTGGTATAACTGACATCTTGGCTGTTTCTAAAATATGCAGGTAGTTAGGCCCCACTTTAGACTTTTACATGTTTTTGACACCGATCCTCCCTTTTGCCCCTCTTGCAATTCTATTAGTCATCCATGGTCTAGGACCACTGCTATAAAGTATAGTTTGGCTTTGAAGGCAATTGGAGTCTGGTTGGGAATATAGCACTTCTACTTATATCTATCACTCTGTCATTTTAGCTCCTTTCACAGAAGCATATGATAATTTTCAAGGGAGAAGCATGGACAATATAGCTACCATGCTTAAGGGAGGAACAAATTAGCAAAAGAAAACTAAGGAACTAGGGAATAAGATTTGAACTTACGGTTTAAGGATGGTTAGAGTCTAAACATAGATGTAAGAACATGGCACTGTGAGTAGAAGATTAGCATGAACCTAAGCTCATGTGCAAGCTCAAGACAAGAGTATGTAAGGCATGTGCCAGGTATTAAGTGGATATTAGTTGTAAAATAGACATCAGATAGCCCTGCACAGGGACTTCAGCCCAAAGATCTGGATTTGAGCTCTGTGCATGTCACTAAATAATTATATTTCACTACTCCAAGCTCCAGTTTCCATATCTGCCCAAAGTTTCTATTAGGTTGTTTGGAACCATTAAGGTAATTGCACTTAATAAGGCACATAGCCCTACTCAGTGATAACTATTATTATTGTCTTTGGAGGGAAAGGCTTTGAAGGTTCGAGGGAAGAGGCATGATACATAAAAAGGGTTAATTATTCTATTTCTCCATGAGTGAGGGAAAGAAATAGCTAAAAATGAATAACTAAATTTATGTAATTGTGTTTAGGGATTTGGAGCCCAGCCTTCCAAAAGATCAGCCTTACTGTCCGTCATGGCTGATGCTGAGACTATGCCTGGTACGTGAGTATCCCCAATTACCTTACAACTCAGTGCACAACCTCCAACAGCCTTTAAGGACACTTTTCATTAATTATTAATTCCCAGATTACTAAATTTACTGGTATACCTTGTAAAAATTAATCTCATCCACTTTATTTAAATATAACCAACTTTTGAGAGATTGAAAGCAACTTTTAACTTAGTGTGCTATCTGATACGATACGCACTAGCCACATATGACTCTTCAGTGCTGGAAATGTGGCTAGTGAAACTAAGGAACTGAATATTTAATTTTTTATTATTTTTACTTTTTAAAAATGTTTTTATTGATGTTTAGAGAGAATAAGGAAAAGACTGAGAAAAAGAAACATTGATATGAGAGTACAACATCCATTGGCTGCCTCCTGCACATATCCTACCAGGGATTGAGTCCACAATCTGGACATGTGCCCCGTCCAGGAATGAACTGACACCTCTTGGTGCATGGGATGCGACACCCAAACAACTGAACCACACAGACCAGGGATTAATATTTAATTTTAGTTCATTTTAATTTCAATATAAAAACAGATAATTCAGTTATTGGAAAGCTTTAAAGCATGTTTGGAGCAACATGGGTATATGAACCTACTTTTTCAAGTGAATATTTTATCCAATCTTAACACAGATCTAGTGTTTCAGATAAAAATTTAACAACTAAATTGAGATGAACGTAAGTGCAAAATACATATAAGATTTTGAAGACAGAACAAAAAAAGTGAAATATCTCTTTAAATTTTAATATTTATTAATGTTGAAATGATATTTGGATATATTTTATGTAAATAAAATATGCTATAACAATCAATTATTATATATTATTAAATTAATTCACTTCTTCGCTTTTAAAATGTAACTACTAGAACATTTTAAATTATATATGTAGATCACAATATATTTCTTTCAGAGCTGGTCTAGATTTGGCATAGCTGAAAGTAATCTTCAATTTGGGCTTAGATAGCATGATTGAGAAACATTTACTGCTGTATACAGAGCTAGGATTATTAGGATTTTCTGTTTTTCTATCTCCTCTTGGCTCTTGTGACCCCAGGCATTATGTAATACTGGCTTCTGTTCAATAGAAGCCTCCTGGATTCTTTTAATTCTCTTTCAATTTGGATATTACAACACATTTCAAGATGGAGAGGGCAGAAAGAGATCCAGGAATGGACGAGAATGTTCGCTAGTTAATTTTACCTTTGGGTTATGCCCATAATTATTTAAATTATATTTGAAGTGTTGATACTATGAGCTTATAATTCTCCTACTTCTTCTTAACAACCTAGCCTAGTATGAGAAGTATTTTGGAGGCGCATACTGTAAAGTCTCTGTGAGGTGTGTAGGAAACCTATTAATCATTTATTGTTGCAAAGAGGATAAAACATTTTGCTAAAAAGAGACTAAGGTGGGATGTGAGGAAAAGTGTGCCTATAAGAGACAACTCATCTCCTCTCTGAGCCTCTCCCCTCACCTAACCCTTCCCTTCATCTCAATGTGCTTTTAGAAGAACTTTCTGCACATGCACAAATATTCAAATCTTTGTTTATTTGTTCACTTGTTTGGTATGTGTTTGCTATTTTTAGCCAAGGAATGTTTTCCTACAAAATAACACTTAGGAAGAGCTCATATAAATAAAACCAATAAGCTTGGATTAAAAGAAGGAAGAACCACCAAGAAACATGAATTTGGTGAAGCACAATTTTGAAACCATTGCCTTAATCTGGACTTGATTCACTATGTTATTTCTCTTGGGATATTGTGTTTCAAATCTTATCTCTAAGAATACAATATAAAGTTTAGAGGGAAGTTTTTACACTAGGGAACTGGTGGTAGAGGGTGTTAGTGATTTATGTTGGCCTCTGTCACGGCACAGATCTTACAGAATGCCATGACATTTGTTTATAGTTGGGTTTTTTTTTCTTGGTTTTTTTTCTGGCACTAGTCTCCAAGTTCTCAGAATTCAAGGATACTGAGTGTCTTACTTCTTCAGTACATTTAACACCAAAACAGTATCTGCGACTTAGTAGGTACTTAATGACTGTATGCTGACTCAGTGTTGTTGAGAGTGAAGTAAGGCTTTACTAACACCTATGAAATCAAATGGGCAGTCAGGCACTTTCTCCAAATTATATAAGCAAGGATGCCCTTAGCCATATGGCCCATACTTCTTTGTTCATCATATCTTCTTAGTAAATTTTTATGAAATCGCTGAAAAGTGTAGCCTGTTTGTAGGAAGGATGGAAATACTCTGATTAAGGTCAGTTATTAATATTTTTGTATGATTAACAAGATGGCCAATGGTTCATTCCATTGTCTTAGTTTCCATGAATACATTGATGTCCCCATATCGTCACTTCAGAGTTTTACTAGAACAATTATATAGAATCTTCTAAAGCAAGGGTTGGGGAATGTCTGGCCTGGGAAATCATTTGCTCTGACCCTGCAGTTAGGGGTGAGTTAATTAAATGTTTGATCAAATATAGCAGGCTAATTTTTAAGTTGATAATTTTGTATGGCTCGTGAATTATGTTATAAATATCCAAATGGTCCTTGGCAGAATAAAGATTCCCCATTCCTGTTATAAAGCATTATGAGAAAGATGAAATTTTATGATCAATCATAGTAGCATTAAATTGATGATATATGAGTGAGTTTTTTTTAACAAAAATATATAAAATAATGTAAGAAAAATGTTTTAGGTTAGTGAAATAATTTGGCACTAGAGATTCATTTTTTCCCCCCATGGAAATGCTAATATTTGCAGTCATGTTTTAGCCAATTTCAATATGACTATTTCAACTTCTTCATGAACTTTATCGTAAAATATTTGTTATAACAATTTTTTATTCCTATATGGGGATTTGGTAACTTGAAGAATCCACTGTATGAAGATATTTTATTATTTGCAAACCTATCATTAATAATTTTTGATAAAAAGAGCTATAATAAGATAAGATTCATTCAAACTAATTTAGAAAGTTGAAATTTATTTTTGTGGTGTTGAAAAATTGAGGACTGATGAAATTAATCACATAAATAGCCCAATGATAGTAATACAACAATAAATATGGTAATAATAATTGTTCACACTTATTGAAAGCTTATTATGTGTTTGGTGCTATGCTAACTTCTTTGTAACCAAGTCTAATTTTATTCTCACAACAAGTCTGTGAGGTATATTATTATTATTATCATCCTCATTTTACAAATGAGAGAGTGAAAGCTTAAGACAACAAAATAAGGCTCATGAGCAAATTAGAATTCAAGACAAAATGGTATGACTCAGGAATAAGAATTCTTAAAAGTCATTCCATCTGCTGGATATGTATTTGCAAATAATCAAAGCCTTAATTATATTTTTAACAGAGAAAGAGGCAACTTCTTCTTAATAATTAAAGTTATAATGTGCACTTGAGTGTGTAAAAGCTGCATGCTTATATGCTTATCCCATTCTGAACAAAGAAGCAAAGATCATTAACTGAATGGATTCTTAATGCCAAAGTTGTTTACTTTCTTGTGATTTTAGATTTATTTGTCGAATATATAGTATACATATGCTTAGAAATCATAAAAATAAAAGAACAGACTTTATCTTTGTCTTTCCCAAGGCATTGAAATATGAATTATTTTGTGCTGCCTTGAGAATTTAACTCTTTGGTTGAAACTGATTTTTAGTTACAGGAGAAAATTGGAATAGGTGCTACAGCACGTTAAATGACAATGAGGGTTCAGGACGGACTGCTGATTTGGAGTCAGGGTATCAACACACCTTCAATGGATCCATCTCAGGATCCATGTAAAATTGCTGTGTTTTGGTGCCTGTCATTTTTTGTCCCTTTAATACAATCACAGGCCTTGTTTATTTCAAGAGCCTCAAGACATGACTGTGTGGTTTCACTGTTGCAGTACCTAGAGGAGTTGGAATTTACTTACTGGCTCCAAGAAGACCATTAGTGTTGGCAGAATGTACACAAACTACTCCCCAGTTCACAGGCGACAAGTGACTTTTGAGGATGGGAAAAATCAGACACACTGGTCAGCAAGAGCCTAGCTAGACAGAAAAGGCTACCTTGGGAATTTAACTCCTCTGTCAAAGTCTAATTTTTAGATGTGAAGGGGGATAGGAGAATGGCGAATGGCTCTGCCAGCACATTAAATTACAAGGGTGCAGGTTTGCTGGCTTGAAATGAAAATGTCGAAGTCCATTCAAGTTGTTATAAAAGTATATAATAGAGTGGTTTATAAACAAGGGAAATTTCCCCCCTACAATTCTGGAGACTTGGAAGTCCAATCATGATGCCAACCACTCGATGTCTGGTGAGGACCTGCTTTCTCATTGACGTACATCTTCTCACTCTCAGCTCACATTAGTGGAAGGAACTACCTACCTCTCTGGAGTCTCTTTTATAAGGGCACTGATTGCAATCACAAGAGCTCTACCCTCATGACATAATCACCCTCCAAAGGCTCTAATATCATTACATTAAGCATTAGGTTCCAATATATGAATTTTGAGGAAAGGGCATATATATTGTTTATAGTGTACAGTGTTGGTAAAATACAAGTACTCAACTATGGTAATCAGCCCAATGCTAGAGGATTCTCTAGCACTTAGGGAGTCTATTGCATCAAGTAAAGAAGCAGATGTGTAATAAAAGCAAATTCAGGAAACCAGCATGGCTGTGTAACTTTAGAAGACTCTTAGGCCCTCTGCATCTTAGAGCTTTGCAGTAAATGAAGATCATCTCTAAGGTCTTATCTGGAATGAAAATGGGATGGTTTTTATAAAGCTGCATTCCCACCAAAACCCAGTGACAATCATTTCACATATTAATAAGTTATATTGACTGTTGTGCATCTGATACATGGTAATAATGTAATTCTAAGTGATTATAAGAACTGTTTAGTCAAAAGAGAGGAAGTAAGCAAGGACAAGTTGTGGAGTCTTTTTTTCAGGAAGTTAGGGGTCTGGTTAGAAATTCATTCTGGCCTTTTATAATAGCAGCCCACATAGACTAAAACAGTATTTCATTATGGTTTTGATTTGCTTGAAGATGGAAGTTTAATTGCTTAAAATTTGAGCAGGTGAAAAGAAGAGAGAAAAAAAATCTTAATCCTAAGAGCACTAAAGAAGGTAGAGTTATAGAAATGAAGAGCACACTCACCAGACTTAAAGCTAATTTAAATGGGTTATGTGACTTAATTTTACTGACTCCAGGTAAAGAGGAGAAAGCTAAGAAACACTTTAAAATGCCAAGTCAAACATCTACAAACAGCTTATACAACTAAATAAAAGGAAGATAAATAATCCAATTAAAAAATGGGCAATGGACCTAAATAGAACATTTTCAAAAGAAGACAGAAGGAAGGCCAAAAGGCACATGAAAACATGCTCAAAGTCACTAATTGTCCGAGAGATGCAAATCAAAACAACAATGCGGTACCATCTCACACCTGTCAGAATGGCCAACATCAACAAATCAACAAACGACAAGTGTTGGCGAGGTTGCGGAGAGAAAGGAACCCTCTTGCACTGCTGGTGGGAATGCAGACTGGTGCAACCACTGTGGAGAACAGTGTGGAGTTTCCTCAAAAAAACGAAAATGGAACTCCCATTTGACCCAGTAATCCCACTTCTAGGAATATATCCCAAGAAACTAGAAACACCAATCAGAAAGGATATATGCACCCCTATGTTCATAGCAGCACAATCTACAATAGCCAGAATTTGGAAACAGCCTAAGTGTCCATCAGCAGCTGATTGGATCCAAAAACTATGGTACATCTACACAATGGAATACTATGCTGCCATAAAAAAGAAGGAATTCTCATCATTTGCAGCAACCTGGATGGAATTGGAGAACATCATGCTGAGTGAAATAAGCCAATCAATGAAAGAGAAACACCACATGACCTCACTCATTTGTGGATAATAAAGAGCATTATAAACTGATGAACCAAAAGATAGATATAGAGACAGTATATCAACAAGTAGACTGTCAAATTACAGCGGGGAGGGGAGGAAGATCTGGGGGAGATAATAGATCAACCGAAGGACTTTTATACATGCATATAAGTACAACCAATGGACACAAAACTCTGGGGAGGGAGGGGATGTGTGGGAAGGAGGGAGGGGGGCAAAAAAAAATCAATAAAATATATTTTTAAAAAAATGCCAAGTCAGCAGATGATAAAGAAATTATAAGGCGGAAATGAGGAATAAATGAAAATGATGTGTTCTATATAGGTGCTATAAAATTCCATACTTAATTTTAGTGAAAAAGAATAAAGAATCTAAGGCACTTATAAATGAATAAAGAGTTTTATAATATTATTAATTTGTGGGTATGTATATTTTTATTTTAGTCCTATTCCTATTTGAGTTTTATGTTGCAGTTATAATTTAATCAACATATTTTATGTAGTTGTATGAATTATTCATTAAGTATAGAGAACACAAATAAACTAGATAATTTTTGTACCTAAATCATGCTGTTGTGTCTTCTGTATAGTAACATTTTTAAAAGTTTTAGAACCATTTGAGATTTCAATTTTGTGTGCTTTCTTTGGTTTCCCTGAATTTTAATAATTTAGGATAATTTATCACTCTGACCATTGTAAGCTGATTTTTAAAGAAAAATATTACATTATAGGAGTATTACATTAACTTCATTGAATTCACTTATAAGTTACACTTATAAAATTCACTTTTTAATAATGTCCTGCAAGATTCATAACTGCCCCCAAATTTTAAAATCATAAGTTTGTCATTGTTTTTTGTTAAGAGAGTACATAAACTACAATATAAACAAGTTTTTCTGTTTTTATTCTAGGTACTGTATTAGAGATCTCCAACCAAGATTTTTTTCAGGAAGCAAAAATTCTGATTGCCCAACATTATAAGAAAATAAATGAGGTTAATGCATTTATTTAACATTATATTTTCCTGGACACTAATAACTATTTTTGTATATTGCAATGATCATTTCAAATGATTACATGAATCCCAATAGATTTTGAATAGAATGAAGAGAAAATGAAATCCTTAATAGTAATAAGAACTGATTTCATATTGCATTTAAAAATTAATTTTTTAGCTATACAGACTATTTAATTATACAGATATACTTAATTTGCACACTCAATTCTTAATGTTGTCTTGATGAATTATAACAAATATTTGGATTAAATATATCACATAAATAACACTCTTTAAACAGTATTAGATAAAGCTAAACTAGCAAATATGCTGTGAGATGTCTCCTCTATGCTCCTGGCATGACATGCTTATCTGATCTCCTTCCACATCACTTAGCATTAAAATGTTTACCAGCCTGATAGCTTCTTGAGGGTAGTGACTGCTGTTTTTTTTTTGTTTTTGTTTTAATGTTGGATCTCCAGCAATAGGCATTATGCCTGGCACAATAAATATCTGTTGAATGGCATAGATTTGGAAGGCCAGGGAAGAAGGGATGAAAAGAAAAGTGATGGCAAAAAGACAATAAAGGGTGAAATTTTGGAGGACAGTCTCTGTAGAGGAGATGCAAAATTTTAGGGAATAGCAGCTATTGTGATAAATGGACCTTTGGGGCGATAGTGTAGGGAAGGGATTTTAGAATGATGTACTTTGTGATCACTGTCCTAATCCCTTTTGAAAACTTCTATTTTTACATGTCTCTTTTGAATGGTCCTCTCTGCTGAGACTGGTCATAGGTGGTTTTAATCTTGTAGTAAACATTGCCAATATTTCTTTATTGTGTCCTTTAGCCAAAAAAATACTTATATTGATTATATTGATTTCATTAGTAAGTACATGGGATAAAAACTTCACAGTGTTCAGAGTTAGATAAATATGCCTTAAAACCCTGACCATGTTTACAGTTTAATAACAGCTTAATAGTACATCTTTGCATAGAAAACATAATATCTTCTTATTGGCATGTTGATTTGGCAACTATTTGAATTTTTCCTAAATCTCTTTATGGGCCAGAGTATGACTAGCTTGAAAAAGTATGATTGTTTGAACAATTTCTTGTCAGATACCCGGGACTGTATTATTTTTCTATTGTTTAAAATTAAGAAGCATTTAAGTAATTGAAATTACCTGAAATACATATCCAATTATGAATATTATTTTAATTTTTTATAGTTTAATGCATTTTAATAGCAAACTTACAGAAACAGCACAGAAGACAGACAACATTAAAAGCATGTACTTGCATGTAGGACAACTCAGAAAAGCATAGTGAATGGATTTAAGGCATTTAAGTGATTAAAATGATCTGAAATATATATCTAATTATTAATATTCTTTTCTGAGAATCTTCCTCTATTTATGAGCAATTATTTATGGTTCAACAGATAAAGAGCTTTGGGGGTGGGGTATAAGCATTTTATGAACATTTGAGAATTTTTCAAAGATGATTGAAAATAAATTATTATATGTCTAGTTGAAAACTTCTGTCTTAAAATAGACTTTAAGGTTATATTAAAAAATATCACATATGCGAAGAAAATTACTATTTTAAGTGTACATTTTTTAAAGTGGAATGCAATCCTCATGCCTGTGAAGTACCTTTTGAGAACTACATAGGATAACATCTGCTTCATTGCAGCACTGTCATATGCTTTATAGTAAATGTCTATATGGTAAGGCACTTTGGCAAATGTATTTAGGGTATATAAGTTTGTTTCTGTCTTAATAAAATTTATTACATACTTTTATTATACCGTTAATATGACAATTAAATCTAATTAAATTATTTTTTGTTTTATTCGCAGGACAAATTTCAAGGTAGTTCTATAAATGTTTTTAGAAATAAACACCAAAAACCGAGACCTGGTAGACACATACCTTCAAGGATTAAAAAAAAGGAAATATTTGATGCAGTCCAAGAACGGCAGCTAGCACACAGACATGCTTATTTTCACAAAGATGTTTCCAAGGGGGAATGTTTTGAGGAGCCCCCTCAACGAACTTCACTCAAGGAGTCACACATGTTTCATGTAAAGGAAAAAAGCAAGGGATATATAGATCTAATTGCAAAAGGTAAGTTTTTGGTGGAGTAAAGAAGTTCAGTAAACCAACAGGCAGAAGTGTTTGATTCTGAGGTGTTTTTAATGGGCTTCCCTTGTTCAGACAAAAATCCAGACTTTAAATTTTAGTAATGAAAGATAAAGAGAGAGGGGGGGGGGGTGTTAAAAGAGTTGCTAACCTCTGGGGACCACCTGGAATTGAGAAGAGAGCATCCTCATGGGAAAGGGGAATGGAGAGGAGCACTGCTGGTACTTACATCTTCCCACAGAGTGGTTCTTCTTCTAGTGCAAGTCCTCAAGCCCGGCTGGTTCATGGTTAGGAGTGAGGTCAGAGGCGGATGGCTTTGAATTCTGTTGTTAAGTAGGGTCAGTAGGGTGGGCAAGCTGTTTGTGTCTTCCTCCAAAACCCCATAGGATCTGTGGAAGTTATAGGTTTTATTTTCTTTAAGACAAATTGTAGTAAAGATTTATTCTTTGTCAAGAACTTGGTGAGGTTGCAGGTCCATTTAAACAAAGTGATACTGTTTTCTCGAGATTAATGGCTGGAATACATGACTTCTTAAAACACATTTTTAGTTGTAACTATTTAAAATGCATCTACATTTTCCCTTTGTTACTGCTTCTTATGCTATTCAATCATTTTAAGTGCCTGCTCTGTGCCAGGCACTTTGTTGGGAGCTGGAGAAATAAAGATTAAAAGGCTCGGAGAGTAATGGGGGGAGGGCGGGGGAGGTACACACATAGGTAATTTCTTATCATACAGTGTGACAATGGCTGTAATAGAGGTGTGTGCAAAGCATCATGGAAACACTGAAACATAACCAGCCAAGTGCTGGAATGAAAATTTCTCAGAAGGGACCTCACTAGCAATGGGTTTTCAGGAGAAGTTTGTTAGAGGGAGGATGGAAACGGGAGAGGCCGTTTGGAGTAGTGGCAGTGAAATAATAACACCCTGAAGGATGAAAGAATGTGATGCTTTGGGAAAGGAGAGCTATGGAAAGAATTGAAATTGGGAAGGTGGGTGAGGCTAGATTTTGAAGATAATACAATATGAGGTCTAGTACTTGATCTTAAGTGTAATGGAACGCCAATGGTGATTTTAAAGTTGGAGTTGGAGATGTTGAGCCATGAGCAAATCTGTCTGAGAGAAAAATAAAACTGGTAGCAGGGGCTCAGGAGAGAATGGTGGCAGAGAGATCAGCAGGATTCGTTTCAGGAAAGGGTTGGCCTGTGTAAAAGATGGCAGAGGCCTAAATTAGGGCAGTAAAGAGGCCTGAAGTAGCATTTCTCACCCTGTAGTCCTTAGAACAGTAGTTCAGAGTGACTCACCTTGACAAAAGGGATATTTGATTTAGATATGTTTGAAAACACTGATTCAGTTCTTCAAGATTCATATTGAGCATTAATATATTAAAAGACCTGAGAAATACTGCAGAAAACAAACCTGTCTGCTGTTTTTAACGTGGCTATCCTCAATTAATCTAATTAAAGAATTCCTAAAGGACAACATTGCGGTCTCTAGCCTGGAAAACTAAACAGACAGCATTAAATTGAGATAGAAAATCAGAGGGAGAAGCAGATTTTGGTCCGGTGGAGAAAAGGATGGGGAATATAATGAAACTGTTAGTTTTAGACCTGTTAGTTAGACATCTATGTGGAGCTAATGATTAGAAAGTTGGAAATAGAGATATGTCACTTAAGAGAGAAGTAGGTGAAGACTGAAGGGGAATGCCCATCAAAGGAGGTGGGAAATGAGCAGCTGGGAGGGAGATCAGGAGCAGATGAAATGTGTTACTCACACTTCGATCAAAGAGGAAGAACACCTTAGGGGCAAGGAAAGCTCATCCATTGTCCCAGGAGGAAGTCAGGGGCATGAGCACAGACACAAGGTGATTGATGAATGAGGGGGGTGAGATTGCTTCTGTTGTTTTGGTGAAATTAAAAATGAGGCTTGCCAAAACCGGTTTGGCTCAGTGGATAAAGTGTCGGCCTGTAGACTGAAGGGTCCAGGGTTCAATTCCGGTCAAGGGCATGTACTTTGGTTGCAGGCACATCCCCCATGGGGGGGGGGTGCAGGAGCAGCTGATCAATGTTTCTAACTGTCTCTCCCTCTCCCTTCCTCTCTGTAAAAAAAAAAAAATCAAAAAAAAATCAATCAAATATTTTGCCGAAACCGGTTTGGCTCAGTGGATAGAGCGTTGGTCTGTGGACTGAGGGGTCCCAGGTTCAATGCCGGTCAAGAGCATGTACATTGGTTGTGGGCACATCCCCGGTGGGGGGTGTGCAGGAGGCAGCTGGTCGATGTTTCTCTCTCATTGATGTTTCTAGCTCTCTATCCCTCTCCCTTTCTCTCTGTAAAAAAAAAAAAAATCAATAAAATATATATAAAAAAAGACATTTTCACCTGAGTATGTGATGCAAAGTGCTGGAGTACTGAGGAACAAAGAGAAAGGTGAAATAGCCATAATCTGGGCAAGTGTGGAAGTGCATGGACTATGAAAAGATAGTTTGCTATGACAAATAAACCCACTGCCACCCTTTTTTTAAGAGAAGAGAGAAATGATTAGGAAGTATCAACAAGGATCAAGGAAGAAAGTGACTTTTTCTTTAGCCCTAAAGTATGGGAAGGGTAGGAAAAAATACTTCTAGAGAAAGCTTCTGAAGAAGCTGTATACTTAGGAAAATAAGGGTTGTTAGAACAAGAAGACAGGGGAACATATGAGAATATAGCTCGAATATCAATTTAGCTGACAAAAGATCTGGGGTTTCCCAGGGCATGGTGAAGAATTTGGGGAGGTGATTCAAGAAAGGAAGAAAGGTTGAAGGTCTATGGAGACTAAGACCAATAGCAAAGAGAATGAGAAGACTAGTTCTGAAGGCCTCTTAGAGAAGGTGGGTAATCTGTGCCACTGATGGTCTCTTTTGGAGATTGTTCTCTTTAGCAGATTATCTTGAAGCCAGGGATGTTGGGGATGGGCATGTCAGAAAGGAATGAAGGTTTTTTAAGAGCACAAGGAGGGCAGTGGCCATCCAGAAAATCCTACTATAGGCACTGTTGAAATCCGACATTTTAATAGGAACTTCTGCATGTGCTCCCCAAGACTGCTGTGGAGCGCTGATCCTAGAGTTTATGTGTGAATTAAAATTGCAATTTATTTCTCAAAGTTCTTATCTCAAAAAGTCTACATTGGAATTGATTAAAAAAAAACACATTCTCAATATTCATTTTACTGTGAATGGAGGCATGATCTAAGATACCTGGCATTAATTCCAGAACTTGATTAAAGTTTGTGAGATTAGAAAGAAAAGTGAGTCCTGTGTGTGTGGTATATGTATGTACCTTTTGCTCCTGATTCACTGACAAACTCAGTTGCATTATCTTCCATAAGTTGAACATTTTATGTGAGAACAAGCCAAACATATCTTAAATTTGATCTAAGAATATCAACTTTAAAAATATATGATAACAGTTATGATATCAAATATCTTTATATTTGTTTTTGTGCTTGCATATAATGCATACTCATCTTTTACTTAATAGAACAAAATCAGGAAAAAAATCAAATGATTTCCTCTTTGAGTATATAGGTATTCTACAGTACTGCTTAACCAGTTTCTATTGCCTTGCTGCCAACAGTTATGAATCTTGATTAGAAATCACATATAAAAATCAGTTTTTGTAATATATATTAGATATTAGTTTATAGTTGCATATATATATTCTACTTATTCATTCCCTTGAAAACAAGTACTGAGGTGCCATTGTAATTTATTTAAATTCAAAAACAGATTTTTATTAAATTTAATGATATTCATGTCAAGCAAATACATTTAGGGTTACTATTGGATTGTTTTCTAACAGTTGGAAAGGAGTAGATGTGTGTGTGTGTGTGTGTGTGTGTGTGTGTGTGTGTGTAAGTGTATGTGGGTGTGTTCTTTGTTTTCCAAATAATAAATCTCTTTCTTAAAATATAAAATGAAGGCATCATTAATTTTAATAATGCCTTAAAATAATTACATGGCTAGAAAGCACTGGAAAAATCTGTCAGAAAAAAATGACTTTGTGCTATGTTTATTTTTTTGCTCACAGTGGTGACAGCTTACCAAGCAGGTTTTTGATCAACAATTTTTATAAAATCTATTTTATATTTTAATGACTTTAAGTGTATGGATAATATTAACAAACATTGCTCTGTCCCACAAAATTACTTGGAGAAATTTAAGACCAGCTCTTATAACAATTTATAAGAGCTGTGGAAACTAGAGGGTTTTTTTTTTTTTAATAATATGGAAAATTATATTGAATTTGGTATTACAAAATAATTTGAAACTTGAAACATACTAATCTTTCTCCATGTATAAAAACAGCCTTTAATTGAGGAATTTGAAAATGACAGAATAAATTTGGGATGTCCTTAGTGATAATCCCACAGAGAATTTTGCAATTGCTTCTCTGCTTCTCTTAGTTTCTTTCTGGTTTAGATTGCTATGTTTCTTCCTATTTCCTGTCCGGAATTTTCTTTTGCTTGCCTGTGTTCTTGCAGAAAGAACCTAAATAGAATTTTAATAATTAGCAAATGAAGAGCATTGTACATCTGAATGATAAATGTCTCAAACACAGTCATTTCTTCTTTATGGTTTTTCTCTTTTTGTACTGACCCGGCAAACTCTGACCTCAAAAGATGTAGGATGGAGACACAAAGTAGGAGAGGAGTCCAGTTGTGTCAGTAACAACATGTTTTACTGCACTGAAGTAGCCACCATGTGCATTAACATTTAATAAATTGATAATATCTTAAAAATGAAAATCATTAAAATCTTATAAAGGATTTAGAGACCATTGAATGGCATTTTTTTTTTTTTTTTTTTTTTTTTTTTTTTTTTTTTTACTATCTTTCTTCTACTAATTCTATTGTTAGTCTAGAGGACAATTTAGGAAAATAACAGAAATCTTAGGACTAGGTAGTGACTGGCAGAGATTTTCTGATTTAGTACATTTGTTCCATATTTTGCCTTTGACAAGGGACATAGGC